ATAATTAATTAAAAAAAACCTCAAATGGTTAGTATAATATGACGTTTGAGGAACATATTTAGGAATTTAAATCGTATTAAGTTTATTTGTGTAAGTGGCCCTTAGTATTAATCAAAATTGGGTAAACGAATTTATTGCAAAATAGAAGCATGCAATTCTATTATAGGCAACTCACTATATTCACACGTTGCAAAATGAAGATGTCCAAATGAGTTGTACTATAATTAAAGGGGGGCTATTCCGGGGGCTATTGACTATTGGGTGTTAATTAAAATAGGACCGATAAATCTTCCATGTGAAAAGCAGAGTGTGTATAATAGACACGTAATTGTGGATGAGTTTTCAATTTAAGGGATCTCGTATGGGGTACAAGGAATTTGTTAGTTTCTAATATCATGATTATTGAATTAGTATGAACTGTTGGATGGCATATATTCAAAAATTGTATTTTATATCAAAAAATTGAGCTGAAATGTTATATACATATACCTATATGTTATATTATAGACCATTCTTACACTAACTTATACCTAGGTTTATTTTTAATCTAGTATTTTAGTGCAATGTGTATTCGAATGAAGATGAGTTTTCCCCTTTCAGTACCTATCTAAACACGCAAAACACAATCTGTTACTCAAGTCGCGAGACCCTAAGTGCCTAAGCGTGGGCATGTCGCTACTGGGTAATAAGATTAAATATTCATATATTAATATCACATCTCTTGGGGGCAGTTTTTTATTTTCTTAAGACATTTTAACTCAAAATTGTAGGTTTAGATTTGCGCTACCAATAATAATATTGTTTAAAAAGCTCATCTATACCTAACTACTTACTAGTTCCCGTGGCAACAAAAGAATTTGTTCGAATTTTAGAAATTTCCATGAAGCCACAGATAGCAAATCGTTAACTTTTATTGTTTTGGTACAAAAAATATTATCTATTATAATTATTTTCCATTTCACAATACAAAGTTAGGTAGATGGTAGAAAGGTTTTATTTTTATTAGGAGATTAAAATTCATTATCTACTAAATATGGTAGTAAAATAGGTGCTTTACATTGATTCATCTTCGTGAATCATACCATATAGGTATGAATTACTTAAGCATTGAAAGACCGGTGATCGGAAGATCGGTGTTGTTTAATGAATAATTACATTTTTATATTAATAAAATTAAAAGTTTTAATATTTGTTTTGGTGTTTAATAAAACATATATACATAGATATACACACACATACATTATAATATTATGTATATATATATATATATATATATATATATATATATATGTGTGTGTATATCTATGTTTCTTACTGATAGTCTCTTTGAGCTGATTTTTGTGATAACATTAATGAGACTGAATAATATTAATGTACATACATCAACAATTATGGCGAGTAAGAATGTTATACATAATCTAAATTGCTAATACTAACTGATATAAAAAAGTAGGTAATAACGGATTTTCGTACAGTTTTACCTATGGAAAAAAGACTTATCTAGGAAGGTATACACTAAGTATATTTTATGAAAAAGTTTCGAAAATATGCTTCTGCTTCGCCCCTTCTGAGAGTTTGCGTAGGTATTATTATAAATGGGATGAGCATCTAGGAATAGAGAGCGGGTCATTAAAATCTAAAAATATAAAACTATATTATAACTTCAATAATTTCTGGTTTTATTTATGCTAGTCTTAAACAAAAGAAAAATACTAATAACGTATGAAACTACGAAACAATGGAGATACCTGGAATATCCTAGAAATGCATTGTGAAAGATTTGTAAAGAGAGCAAAGTTTTATTAAAAAAAATCTTAAATAAAGTGTGGGAAAAGGCTTTAATTAATCCGGACGAAGCCGCGGGAAATTTGTAGTGAATAGTAAATTTATCTTTTTTTCAATTTTAAAGGTCTATATCATGAATAGATGAAATCAAAGAAAATGACTAAAGTTTAAATAAAACAATACAAATACATTCCAGATGTTTCTGAACAATATGGGACTTAACGATAGAAACGTCACGTCTAATTTCGTACAGATATCTATAAGAATGTTAATTACTAAGCTCTTTACTTTATATAGATAATGAGTAATGCTAGTTTAAAGTTATGCATATACGTGTAAAGTAATATTTTTATAGTTAAACTAGCATTGCCCGCGGCTCCGCCCGCGTTCATATGACCAAAAACCAAATTCTTAGGTTTTAAATATTAGTATACTCTAACAATGCAGTTTTTATATTTTTTTCTCGGAAATGATATATTTTCTCGCAGTAAAAATTATCCTGTATGTTGACCCGGATAACCAGCTATCACCATACCAAATTTCATCAAAATCCATTCAGTGGTTTTTCTGTGATGCGGTAACAGACAGACAGACAGACAAAAATTCTAAAAACTATAGATTCGGCCTCTGTATCGATAATAATTTCTATTTCAATAAGATTTTCCAAAAAATATTTAATGTACAGATTCGGCTTAGTAACAATTTTATTATATGTATAGACAAATGATTTATAAAACAGAACTGCATTAACGGCTATAAAAATTATGAAATACTAGCCACTCGCCTTCGCTTCGTTCGGGTTCGTTCCTAGGTCCGTTTTAACGGTAAGTTTGGATATCTCATGGGAACTGTACATTTTTCCGGTATAAAAAGTAACCTATGTGCTATTCCAGACTTTAATTTATCTCTGTACCTTCCTTCCAGATCTGTTTAGTCGTTCGGACGTAATTGAATAACAAACATCCATCCATTCAAATTTTCACATTTATAATATATATTAAATAATGGGATTTATGATTAAAATAGGTATTTATTGTATTCTAAAAATGTAAAATTTTATCTATTAAGCTATTCTGTACTTAATATGGATTTTAAACTCCGTACTCCTGCAAACGTAAATAAATACCATCAATAAACAAATTAGTCTTTCAAATAAATTACTATAAAACTGACCTATACATCTATATTAATGTTAAAATAAAAATAGCAAATATTGAACACTATTATTTGCAACTACAATTAATTTTTTGACAAAAAATTCCCAAGTCCATGAGTGAAACGCAATAAAAATTTCAATTCAATTATTCTGAAGATATTTAAATGTGGCGGCAATAAATATTCTTCTTATTTATTTAGTTATTTATACACATGTTAAGTAACTGTTGTAGTTGACCGTCCCATCCATTGTTTCAGCCAGGCAAATTCTCCGAAGCCTGCCTGCCTGCCTAATAATACGCTGTATCTATTCACTTCCTTTCCGATAATAAAAATATTCTTCGGCCCCATTGTTTGTATATTTCAAAAATAATATTTTAATCGCTATTTGAACGATCCCTTTTTGCTAAAATAGCTGTTTGAAACGATTCTATTGTAATTTTTATTACACTTAGATATTTTGGATACGTTTGTCGGATAGATGTCGTATTTTAGTTATTAGGGCATAAAAAAATTACCATAGAAAAAAATTAAGAATGTGTATTATTACCAAAGAGAAAAAATGCAATTAGGTACGAGTGAAAAATAATGACTGTTACTTATTCAGTTAAATATTTTAAAATAGCATACCTAAAGTTGATTTATATATCTTTTGAGTTTAACATTTTATTTTTATTAATTATACATGTAAAAAATTATTATTAAATTAAAAAAATCTATTACATGTATAAAGTTAAAACTTATTAATTTAACCGCGCCAATATCTACTTCGATTATTATATAATAACAACTACTATGTCAAACAAAATACACAATATACGGTAAAAAATTTTACAGCACGTTCTAGTTAACTTTCCAGAAATTCCGCCAATTTTGGGGATAGGATGACGACATCTATTTGTTCTTTTGAAATCTCTCGTCGGTAATTCCCGGGTACAAAACCTTTTTTTATCTTAGAATTAATAATTGTAATAATTTTTTGATGTGTTTTAGTTTTATATGATTTATTTGAACGCTTAACTTTTCGACATGTGCCAATAAAAGATTTTCTGGATAATATAATTGAATGGGATTGAATGAACCCTTTGATAATTTGGCAATGTCACAACTTGGACAAATCTACCCGTATTAATTCTACCGCCCGTATGGCCAGATTTGCCCACTTTACCCCATTATAAACATATCAATAACGAGATGATCGCCCCACGCTATTGCTCAATAGGCGGTTTTTAATTGAATATTCGGGAACAAATATTTTCTGCCAAAACTTAAATTTACTGCCACCCCTCTTAATGAGATAATATTATAGGTTCGTGAGATTTATCTGCCGAACCACTGGAAGACTGACAGGTTGTTATACCCTAGGTAAAAAGTACCTATTTTCTTAAATAATATATATTATTTTATCTATATTGCTAATAGTGTATAGAAAAAAATATCTGCAAGGATATCTATTACCAAATAATGCCCGCTTTTCAATCAGCAGACGTGACGCCTATGTATTACAATAAAAAAGGAAGAATACTCGGAATAACCTTGCATATTGTATCCACTCGATTGCTATTTATAATTACAACTTATAAGTAAAAAGCGTTTGTACGAACATCTTATCTACATAGGTTATTGAAATAAAAATATGAGTTTTATATCATAGCAATAAAGTTGAAAGTTGCGTAATTATTATGTAGATATATCGCTATCTTAGCAGGTAGGAATTTAAAATTTCGAGCGATCTCGTCTGGCGACAACCCCTGCGCTACCGATGTATGGGGTGGAGCGGGGCCGTCTAGCGCATAGTGTCGTCTCGCTCGCACTCGCCTCGTTCCCTTATCGCCGTCTCGCCTATTATTGTCATATCAAGATTCGAGCATTGTATTTTGTTTTCAATTTTCAATTTAGTTTATATCGGATGTTGGAACGGGCAGCACGTCTGGCGGATCGCCATCGCTTGTTACCCACGTGCTAGTGACGTGCTCGCGATAATTTTAATTATTCCGCGATTTTTTTTCTATCGAATCAGGAAAATCGGTGAAGTGTTATTAAATATTAGTAAACATTAGATGGAATTAATGGATTTCTTCAATAGTATTATGGGGGAGCAGCTCTCAAACTCCATGCATAACGAGCCTCCGAAGATGCCTAACTTTTTCGAAGTCGATAAAAAGAAGGTAGGTGTTGTTCTAAATAATCGATATTTTTTTTTGTTTACGTTTGTTCGATAAGTTATTTATAAATTCGATATAAGTTCGTCTCACTATAAATAATTTAAAAAATATATACCTATATTTTTTATCTATTGTTTATTTGTTTTCATAATTACTTTGATCTACTAATTGCAGATTAATAAATAATTATAATATTTATAACAAATGTGAACAATACGCTATTATATTTAATTACTAATTAGGTATATACATATGATTAATGATTTATTGCAATGTTATTCATACACCATTCTCTATTTATATAAGTTTATTTCTTAATTTGTAGCAAATACGGCTTTTAGGAACTGAAAGTTTTAGAAACTTGATAAATACTTCATTAACCTATATATTCGATAGATAAACTATATTTGCACTTTCATGTCACTTGTTATGACTTGAAGCCGTTCACAAGATATTGATTTGATAATTTAATTAATTTAAATGAAAGTCATTGTCAAATAGCCATTCTAAGCGCACAAAGCTGTAGACTTCTTCAAAATTTTGAGACGGATTCAAGATATTTAATAAATTATTAATTCATGGATTTATTCATAATTCATAAGATAAGTTATAACTTACAAAACTTAAAATAATATACTAATTTTCGAATGAAATAATAAAATAACCAGTAGATCGCTGATTATTTATTCATCTGCATAAATTAAAATTACTTAAGTTACATTTTTAATGAAAAACTATATTGTTTTCAATACTTAAATTAATAATTAACTAGAAGAAGCGAGCAAAAGATATAAGAATATTGAAAACCTCAATAAAATCTTGTCGATATGCTTAGGTATGGGACTTTTTATGTGAAATTTAATTATAGTCTTAATACGAAAAGATACTAAGTTAATATCGGAATAAAAGAATGGATTCCATATAAATTTGTATAATTTATGGGTGTTTTAATGGGCATTTAATCTTTTGTCATTATCGTGGAACAGGTTCTGATGATCCGATTAATATTAGAGCGAAATTAGTGAGTCGCATTTTCGTCGGTAGAAATAAATCGTTTTGATTTTATAGGCAGGTCATTTTTTTGGGTTACGTAGGCAATAATAAATAATAATTAGTTATCGAATAGTTTTAATCGATTACATTTTGATTGTTTCAAGCTATCGATTTACACCGATAGATAAATATAAAACTATGTATTTTATTTAAGATCATAGTATATTAAAAGTTAATAATTATTTATTAATATGACCAAGAAGCCATTTTCAAATTAAAAAAAGCTTTGAAATTGATTCCTTTTGATACGTCTGTACAATTATTCCATACTAGCTTTGCCCGCGGCTCCGCCCGCGTTCAAATGACCGAAAACCAAATTCTTAGGTTTTACATATTAGTATACTCTTACGTTGCAGTTTTTTCTCAAAAATGAGATATTTTCCCGCGGTAAAAAGTATCCTATATGTTGACCCGGATAACCAGCTATCACCATACTAAATTTCATCACAATCCCTCCAGTGGTATTTCTGTGATGCGGTCACAGACAGACAGACAAAAATTCTAAAAACTATAGATTATTCGGCTTCTGTATCGATAATAAAGTCCATTTCAATAAGATTTTTCAAAAAATATTTAATGTGCAGATTCGGCTTAGTTACAATTTTATTATATGTATAGATGATGTCTAGCGTCTACGACACAATACGTCCGATGATGCCAGGGGTGGTCAATACGAAGCCAGTTTAATTTTACGAGCCTCATTTTATTACGGGATAATGCGTGAAACGGATGATTTTATAACGAACCTATGTCGTAATGATCGGATTAAACCCCTTTTTATCCGTGTTGATTTATCTGTCGTCCACGCTTTGAATTTTTTATTGCAAACGGCATTATTAAGGAGATTAATAATTTACGATTGTCCAATAAAATGGAATATGAATTTTTTAACATCAATTCGGCCATCTCCATCGAAATAAGCAATTATAATGTGTTCCAAGTTATCTTTACGAACGATAAATATTTACTTTTACGACTTATAAGCAAGCCACCCTGATGTCTGAGCCTTTTGAGTATAAAAATTAGGTCTTATATATGAATTTGAATACCATAAGTTCACTTTATAAGAAGCTTAGGAAAACTTTAAGTACAAGCTCAGATTTGTTTTTCTTCAAATGCAAGATACATTTTCAGCGGCTTTTTATATTTAATAAGCTTTATTGTTTTGAACCTACTTATAATTTAATAACATCGGCCGAATTAATGATGATGCCAGAAAATGCATGGAACTCTTTAATGGTTATACTAGTAAAACCTGCGTGTGTATAAACCCATACAGTTTTTAGTTTTATAAAAACAACTAGCATTCTGCATTGCCCGCGGCTCCGTCCGCGTTCAAATGATCAAAAACCAAATTCTTAGGTTTTACTTACATGTTAGTATACTCTTTCTTACACTGCAGTTTTTGTATTTTTTCTCAGAAATGAGATATTTTCCCAGGGTAAAAAGTATCCTATATGTCGACCCGGAAAACCAGCTATCACCATACCAAATTTTATCAAAATCCCTCCAGTGGTTATTCTGTGATGCGGTAACAGAAAGACAGATAGAGAAACAGAAAGACAAAAAATTCTAAAAACTATAAATTCGGCCTCTGTATCGATAAATGTCTATTTCAATAAGATTTTCCAAAAAATATCTAATGTACAGATTCGGCTTAGTTATAATTTTATTATATGTATAGATAACATTGAAGGAAATTAAAAGGTACCGATTTCATAGAAACTGAGATAAATAAACATTATATTATGTCGTAACTTAGTTCGGCAAAATAACTTTTACTTGCACTCTTCGATCAACACTTCTGTTAATAGAAGCTTGCACAGCCTTAGGTGCCGACACCTGTTTGGACAAGATTTCGATTCCCAAGTAATTAAATTGATCACCTTCTTTTTAAATTAACCTACAATAAAACGCTAATCCATTATTACCTATTTTTTTTAACGTTGGGAAATGCATTTACGCACGAGGTGTGGGACTCACCGGCAAAGCCAGTACTACCCACTTAAACCCAACAGAACCTTCCCCCGTCTTAATGGGGCGTCGCAGGATCGCTTACGCATTCAACTTCGACGCCCCGACGGCAGGTCTGCCGAAGCAGACCACAACAACCACGGGGTTGCTCCACAGTCCACTCTGCTATCAGAGAAGTACCAGGAGCAACCCGCATGGTACACTGCCCTCCGAAGAGGGCCACCTCCTACCGCCCACCGAAGTGGGCCACCTCCCTGTGCGTTTCTTGGCTTCGCGCCCGGTTGGGTTGCCGGGCACTACTGAGCCCCCCCACCACGACAAGGTGAACGCACGTTGGGGGGGAATCCATTATTACCTTGCTTTTTAACATAAACCTATATTGTACTAGCTTTGCCCGCGACTTCGCTCGCGTTCAGTTGACCAAAAACCAATTTCTTAGGTTTTACATATTAGTATACTCTTACATTGCAGTTTTTGTATTTTTTCTTAGAAATGAGATATTTTCCCGCGGTAAAAAGTATACTATACCCGGATAACCAGCTATCATCATATCAAATTTCATCAAAATCTCGCCAGTAGTTTTTCTGTGATGTGGTAACAGACAGACAGACAGACAAAAATTCTAATAACTAAAGATTCGGCCTCTGTATCGATAATAATGTTTATTTCAATTAGATTTGCCAACAAATATTTAATGTACAGATTCGGCTTAGTTACAATTTTGTTATAATGTGTATAGATAACGATTTTCGGAAATAGTTTTAATGATAGGTAGGTACTCTTCATTTGGATTGGTAATCAATTTGTATTGCAAATATTGCTACGGCATCTTTGTGTACGTAGGATTATAGGCTGGCTAAGAAATTAGCATGTTGCCTCGGTGTGGTCATCTCGCGAACGTGAATTGCATAGAGTAGAAACTGCATTATAGCAGACTAATTGTGTTTTGGCCTGTGAAATAAATTTAACTTAGTATTACGATAAAATCACTTTTGTATAAAGTTTATGTTATTATAATATGTTGTTTGTAAATTAATTTAATTTGATTTTGAGCTACAGAGATTTAGAGACATCGAAATATTGAGAGGCATGTGTTTGTTTGCCTTAACGTGTGAATATTTTTTTTTGATTATTTTACATTTACTATAGATATGTTTGTCTGGGCATAGTCAAAATAAGTAAATGTAAAGGAGAAATTATACTTGTTATATTAAGAATATATATTTTGTATGTTTTGCAATTTTGACCGATATTATGATTGATATAAATACATAGATTATAGAATGACATTTCCTAACAAATATCTGTTCAAAAAGTGGCGTCGATATGTGACGTTAAGTAAAACTAAAGAATAAAATTAAAAAATCGAAAGTTTTAACTATCTAAGCCTAAATTCGAACTTACGCACACCACATAAAGATCTTTTTTAAACGAACGTTTTAATTTTGTCATCCGAAAAGCAATGAACAAAAGAGATTTGAAAAAAGCGCATAATTACGAACTGTGCGCTTCTTCTTAAGGACACTTTTGAGACACTAATTGCGTATCTTGAGTTTTTATATATCAATGGATATTTTGACATATAGGTAAATTTTGCTATATATATATATATATATATATAATTATGTTACATTATATAAATTTATACCAACTTTCTTTACTCTCCTCGTTGCTCTATGGCACACACATCTGCATTGCTTATGCACGACGGGTGATTGACCGCGCATTTGTTACACCTGCAAATAACGCAAACCACTCGTATAAATGCAAGTTTGCGAGTGTGCGTTCATTAGACCTCTTAGAATCTTAGACATGCCATCTTATTTATACATAGAGTTGACTATGTACATCTTTTCACGTATTGTAATTTATACGTATATAATAGTTTTGGAAATATGTATACCTAAATGTTAATAAATTTCATCATAATATACTATATAGGTAATATATATCTTGTGTATATACACCTTCTAGTT